TGAAGTTCTTGTTCCAATGTCCATGCTGCTCATGCTTCTGCTTCTTGAAACCTAAGCAGGGCAAGCCAAAAGCTTTAGATTCAAAACCAAAGGAAGAGAAGAAGAAAGATGTGAAGGTTGAAGAGAAGAAAGTGGAGAAGAAAGAGGAGAAGAAAGAAGAGAAGAAGGAAACCAAAGCAGAAAAGGCCGAATGAAAACTCTACTCTGAGAAAATGTAATTAACTATCCCATTTTATTCTTAATTTCTCTGCTTATATGTTAATGATCACGAATGCTTAAGCAACCCCTTGTAAGGTTTAGTAGTAACCTTTTTTCGCCACTATGGTTTAATCTCCTATTATATCAAATTTAAATGTTGCTTGTATTGAATGTACTCTTCTGAATATGTGAAAGACCGTGATTATTGTTACTACATGATTTATCCGTATATTTTGTTTTCTTAAAACACTCTCACTAGTGATGAGGTTTTGAGGGTTTGTGTTTATGTGATTGGATCTCACAAAGAAAAAACTTAAAAAAAAAAAATCTTTCTGCTTCAAAAAGTAAATCAAAAGGTATGATTCATATTGAATTACTATATAACTAAAATATAAGATCTCAAATAAATATTATAGGTTTCGTTTACAGAAAAAGTTTTACGTTTCAAATAAATCTTTTGTTGGGTTACTTCAATTTGGATCGATGTGGTTTTACCAGATCGAAACACGCTAATTCATACTAGACGAACTATGGGATTGGTATTGGAAAGCGATAAATGGATTTGTTTCCTTAGTCCAAATACCAAAAGAGTCCAAATTTTATTTTTTTTATAAGTGTATATCAATTACCTCATCACTGAAATGATGGTCTTTCTAGTAGAAAATTTGCTTAAAATTTTAAAATATATAATATACGGTTCAAATAAAGGGAAAAAAACTAAGAGAGATGCTGTATTTTTCTCACCAATGTGATTCTTCGATTATATCCCTTTGGTCTCACTTCCCATCTCGGCAAGTTCGACCTCAGCCTCCTTCAACAGTTTTGTGCCACATCTTTCTCTTAATCACTCCTTATTTTGGATCCATGGGATCGTATTTGTAAAAATATTATAACTAATTAGTGTTCAAATACATGTGAAATGTAGTGTCTGATTACCGTCTTAGGCCTTTAACTGGTGCTAGCTGAATTAAAGAATGTTGAAGAATGTAGATGAATTCTTCATATGTGTTACCAGTTGAATGTTGAAAGAAATTCCTCAGTTTTTGTCTTTTTCTTCATATGCATTCATAATGGAATGTTGACAAATATATATGTTCTCTCTTAAACAATAGCTTTCAATTTTGTTAATGTATTTTTTTTCTTCTACATCTACATCGTTAGTTAGTTAGAAAAAAACTGCATAACTATTTATTTCTCCTGAATATAAAATTTACGGTTTTATTTAATTTGTTAATTACATTTAAGAGAATTATTAAATAGAGTAATTTGAATTTGTACCAAAATTCACAATTACTCTTTCACTATCATTAATTTTTTTGCAAATATTGTTGTTGTCTTATATAAGATTGTAAATTCAACCAACTAAAATATTATTGAGAAATGTTATTTTGAAATATCACTTTTCAAAAATATAACTTTTTTAAAAAAAAAAATTCAAAAATACAACTAAAATTATATCATTCATTCAAAATATCATTTATATTTAGGTTAAGTATTTATGTTATGATTTTATCTTTGTGCAATAGCCAGTTTATCCTTGTAATCGTTCCTCCATATCTCACCGACTCTACACTTCAATTTAAGGTTATTCATCTGATCAAGACGATTATTGGCTCGTTTCATCGGCATTTTCTTCTTCAATGGTTTGCAATTCCTGAATATGGGCATTGAGACCAATTATGGTTTATTTGGCCACTTTGAGAGTGCCAACCAAAAATTCATATTGTAGTCTGCGCTCGTAGGAAACCACTGTACGGTTGTGTTCGGCAACGAGTTGCGGACACAAGAGTAAGTGACTAGACCAAAATCTAAGTTGAAAGAAAAAGTAATGAAAAATTGTACCTCTCCAATACATTTCGAAAAGCCAAGATAGTTCTATCTATCAGCATCAACAAACGGCACGAGAGTGCGACTTTCTAATCATGGCATCGTGAAATGCCTCGCTAACGTTGCTATGGCTTTCGGATCAGTGGTAATCTTGTGGTCAGAGTTGTAGTTGTAGTTCTAGCTATGTTTGATTTTCTTTTCGCAATGGAGTCTTGAGCCATAACCAGAAGATATGTCCTTCCTTTTCCGGTTTAGCAGATTTCCATCAGTGTGAGTTTGGGAATTTGTTCCGGGAGGTACAGAAACAGCCTGCGTCTCTGTGGCTGCAACCTCACAAGAACCATCTGCAATCATTAGCGGGGAGCCATCTCTATCAACGTTCATTAGTGGGGAGCCATCTCTGTCACTGTCAACGTTCATTAGCGGACAGCTATCTTTGTCAATGTTCACCATTGTAGCTCTCCATTCAGCACAGTAGTCCATGTCCTCCATCTCGTCAATTTGCTGCTGCAAATAGAAAATGTTTTGTCAATAAACAATTAAAGAGTTTTGAGAGATAGAAAGTTAAAGCATAAACCCTAAAAGAAAGTTTGTGAAGTGAAAGCCGAACAAAGATCCACATAAAAACAAAAAGACAGAGAAGTTTGAAGATTTTCAAATTTGTTTAGGAAACAAACATACAAAAAACGGATTTGAAGAAATTTTAAGTGAGTTTAAAAAATTTTAGGTTCAAAACTCATGAAAATCAACAGGACGTGAAAAAAATCATTTTGCACAGTTTTTGAACTTTTAAAAGTTTTCATCAAACTTGGTTAGGAGACGAACAAAAAAACAAAATTTAAGAAATTTCAAGTGAGTTGCAAAACTTTTTGGTCTAAGATCCATATAAAAATATAGAGAAGTTTTGAAAATCTTCAAATTACTTTAGAAAACAAACAAACAAAAAAACGGTTTGAAGAAATTTCAATTGAGCTTAAAAAACTATGGGTGCAAATGGTTGACGTTATAGCGGAAAAATGTTTTACCATTTGCAATAATAATGCATTTGTTTTTAAAAATGTGGGTACCACATAATGGTTGGAAAAATCCTTATTGCTGGAATTTTGTTCCTCCACATAGGAGGAGAAGAACAAGCGTAATGTAAGTTATGTAACAACTTTTTTTTAGTATTTATTTCAGAGTTTAAATATAGTTATTCAATAAAAAATTTAAGAGGAGTTATTCTTTTTATTGGTTTCTATTATTGTTATACATACAAGAGAAATAACATACGCGTATCCGCGGATATCGATCTAATCAGTTATGAAAATTGAAACTAATTTTAGAATCAATAGTTACAATACAAATGTAGCAAATGCTAAAACATTAATTAATACAATTGATGCAAAATTTAACATCATTTTTTTGCAATTGATACATATTATCACCAATTATCATAATTGATGAAAATGTTTACAACAATTATTTGAATCGATGTAAAGTATTTGCATCACCACTTCCAAAATCGCTTTTTAAGTGATTCAAAAATTTTTTTGCATCAATTATAATTAATAAAAATATATAAAATAAATGATGTAAAACACACTTTTCTGTATTGGTAAAAAAATAATATTATAATTAATTAGTGTTCAAACACATGCGAAAATGTTGTGTCTGTCTTAATAAGAGGCTTATAAACTACTTTCCATATGAATTATATATTATTAAACTTTTGAAACATAATAAACGCTGGCTAACAAAAAGAATAGCCCCATAAACTAAAAATCGATGGACAAACTGAAACTAAACATGTAGATCAATATAGATAATCCTGGAAACTAAACCCTTAAAAGAGAGTCAAAAGATCTTGCCGAATCATAAATATAAGATAGAAGAGCCTATGAACAAGTGGGAT